GTCGGAATAGCACTTCCCAACCCTTACTTGGAAAGATCTACCAGTGAGGAAATTGGTAATCCAGGTAATAAGAACAGGATGAAATTTCAATTCTTTCAACTTATGGATAAGCTTCGCGTGCGATACCCTGTCGAAAGCCTTGGCAAAATCAAAATAGATAACATCACAACACCCATTGTTATCAAGAGTCTTAGTCCACTCGTCAAGGCATTCAATAAATCTCAATCTTTGGCTGTATATATGCCGCTGCCTGAAAGGATCGAGCAAGGTTCAGCATGGTTGTGTTATGTCTCATCCACGATTATGTTCAATGTATCTATACCGTAGTAGAAGTTGTGTAGTCAAAGAAAGGATGTCATAAATGTTTACTGCACTTCGTAACCACCAAAACCTCACTGGACCGTGATGAAGCTCAAACAGCGTCAGCGACTGGGAAAGTATAGATATCCATCAAGGGTCCCCCAGCGTCCGCCAGCGTCTCGAGGGCCTGGGAAGTATAGGTATTGATCAGGCGTCTAACAGCGTGTGCCAGCGTGCAACAGCATCAACCAGCGGCCGAAGGAGGAGAGTGGCACAGTAGGAGGGTAGCAGACAGCTGATGGAGAGTATAGGGCGATAGAAGGGTAGCAGACAGCTGATGGAGTATGAGGAGGGTTGGCAGACTGGAGTATGAGGAGGTTGGCAGACTACTGGTAGAGAGTATGTTGCGATGGAAGGGTACCAGCTGTTGCTACCCTGCTATCGCGCCATACTCTCCTTTCTCTAATGCTGGTAGACGCTTACGCACGCTGACAGACGAGGGCAGACTTTAGATCGATACCTATATTTCGCAAGCCCTTGAGACCCTGGTAAACTCTGACCCGCTGGAAGGTGCTGGCAAATGCTGGATCGAAAATTATACTGTCCCAGTCCCTGACGCTGCCGGACGCTTAAAACGCTAGTGGACGCTGGTAGGCGCTGGTGGACGCTGCCGCAAAGTACGAATGCAGCCTAATGGAAGGGAAAGATAACGATGGAAGTTCTGGGTTCGAGCATTGCAAGAAATTGGAAATGAATTCATGGCATTGTAAGAAAAATTGCTAAGTCAAGAAGTAGCTTTTTTTCTATTAGCTCTTTGTCATGTTTTTGCTCGACTTCTACGGTCGTCTTGCTTTTGGAGCAGAGACTGTGATGGCACTTATATCAAAGTCAGGAACACGCCCGATCACAGACATGCACTCGGACAGCAACCCTCTGAATCTCGTGACAGATTCGGCCGTAACATCTTTTTTTTGGCGTGTTATCTCACTGTCGACTCGTGTGTGCGCCATGCACGCGTAGGCGGGATTCTTGTCCACTCCCCACTGCTTCTATAGTCTCCCTTGCGATGCAATGAACAATGCGTGAGTTACTTTGCGAGTGTTTCGATGATCTTCACTCTTCACACTCATCGATACGCTTACTACTGGGTATGAGCGGGTATAAGGCGATCGATAGGAGTCACGATTGGGAGGCTATCGCACGCTGTCCGTCTGCGTCCACTAGGGCTGAACTGGTTGGGGGAGGGGGGAGGGGGTTCAGTCACATGCTGATGTTGGATTGGAAAGCATGATGTCAGGATAACCCCCTCCATTACCGAGGGACCCTCCCTCCACAGCCCCGCTTAGGTGTTCCAGCAATGTTCTGTATGGGAAGGGGTCATTAGGCAACGAGGTCCACCACTGCGTTGGGGATCAGTACGACAGCTTGAAAAGGGGACTCGGTACGACCCTCCCCACCCCATCACCCCTATAAAGACCGTGCGATCGAAGCTGTTGGCACGTGTGAACGTATGTACAGTTTATCCAACATGAGTCCCCAAGGACTCAGCGCAGTACAAAATAGAAAGGTGCGGACCGGCAGGAACATGGAATCTTTTTTGAATTATCAGCGCAGTAGTTCAAACTTACTCACAAGTGCTGAAGAAACTCTACGCCTCCCTCCGTGCATCATAGTCCTTGACGTGTGCGAGGAGAATGGGTCCGCAGCAGCAGTAGCGTGCCACTTTTCCCATGAAACACGTTACGTGTCTGCGTCCTCTCACTTCTGCTATTTCTCTCCTCCGTGTTCAATGCGAGAGTTGCTATCGACGCAAGTACTGCACTTTGAGGATAGCTCGTGCGCTGTTCTGGGACAACACCCTGCCTTCACTACTCTACATCCCCGTTCTCATGCATTGTGTGTGGCACAATGCTGTAGCTGCACTCCCCTCCACCTCACACACAGCAAGGACAGTACTCTCAAGGACAGTACTCTATGATGAGAGTAGAGTTTCTCTTCAAAGATGTATTCTATGTGAATATTACTCTAAAGGGTTTCATACCTGCGTATTGTTTGTCAATATTTCTTCTTGTCTCTACACGGGGTAAACCATCGTGATGTCTGAAATGGTGGGGTCAGTACGACAGCCCCCACCTAAAAGAGGGTCTTGGTACGATTCCCACGTTCCCCAACACCTTCCTACGAGTTCCCAACTTCCTACTGGCTTTTCCGAAATGCCCCACATTTTCCGCTTTTTCACCCACAAATTCTCCTTCGACTGGGGGGGGGGGGTCGTCAGGAGCAAACTACTACTATTTTGAACTATCCGAAGCAATAGTTGCAGGCGCCACCAACTAGAAGGGTTGCTTCGACATAGGGCAACATTTCCAACCTCAATAAACCAGGTTCCGGTGCAAATGACGCGCATGCATTAGCACTTTCAACGCCGCGTTGCCGCAATGTTTAGCTCGCGCACCACAGCCCTTCGATTCTATCGTAGCAGTCGGATCGTGTGGAGTGGGTATTACCCCAGAGTTTTTCCAGCGCCCAGTGTTCACCAAAAAAATACTTCTCAAAAATTACCGAACTTTACCGTTTTAGCAGTTGTATATAGCCGCCTAGAGGACAGTCGTCGAAATTTCCTGTAGGGTACCCTCATTAACGTTAAGGATTTGCAGGATGAACGGGTGTCTTACGAGTGTCTCTCTCAATTCATCTACCTACCCGTTGCTCAGTTTCACTCATATTCCCCGTTTCCTGGGCTGCTCCGGATGCGTTTTGAGGATTTTTATCCTCGGCTTCGTCCACTTCGGCGCAGCCCCGCCCATTGTGGGCGGAGCCTAGGTTACTTTGTATGTGCTCTGTAAATATTGGCCCATGCCACATCCATCCCAAGGTTGCTCCATTCCTTAATAGTGTACAATTTCTGGATTATATATAGAGAGATTGCTAGAGTCCTTCACCAAAGAAAGAAAAGTCGCCGGAAATTTGTGTCGAAAACGTTTTCCGTGGAGGACTCCAAACAGCTTTATTACAAAACCGATAATATCAAAAACAACATACACACAAGTATGACAGTAATCTATACTACAGCAAAGCACTTACAGAACAAACAAGACCAAGAGTCAGTACATGAACTGCATCAAGACCTTGTGCAACTTTTGACAAAAACTGGTAACATTGAATCAAAAGTAGTATCTCAAACCCAGGTTCACCAGATCCAGTAAGGCAGCATAAGCAGTTTCTCTTATAGGTTGACGATCTCCTGTGTTCCAAGACATTAGAATGGCGTTTTTCAAGTGTAGCATTGTTCGAAACGCTGAAACATTGATATAATGTGATCTTGCTCCAACTATGGATGTGATGGGCGTGGCCGCGTACTCCTCTCAAGCGTGGCAGCAACAGAGTTTTCGTAGGGGGCAAGTCTGTGTCAACAGAGAACAGACTGGCAGGTGTATTGAATTGCAATATCACACCAGAAACGCATTCCTAAGCCAACTTTAAATAAGGTAAATGGCCACGCCCACCTCACCTTCGGGATATGTAGTGAACTATATAGTGGATGTAAGAAATCTAAGAGCAGCGTCAAAGAGTAGAAAGAGATTTGCTCTTGCAGCATGGAACCTAATCACCAAATTGACAAGGGGGTAGCCTTTCAAATTGAGTGACGTTTGGATTACGAACTAAGATAATTGGTGGGTTGATTCTCTTGGCGCTCGTGATTGGTCGTCGCCTGCTTTGCACTGATGAAGAGCACTAATAGCTTGCATAGGCTGGGGGCCAGGGGTGCTAGCATCGGGAATAAGCAACCGCTTAGGACAGAACAGAGCACATCGTTGCTGGGGAATCCCCAATAGGGGGGGTCGTATTTGGGCTGGGAAAAATTTATTTTGATAGTTGATTTTTCTCGCTTCACGGACGTTGTAAAGGGGGGTCGTATTTACGTTTTGGCGTTGTAGGAGTGGTGGTTGACTTTTGGTGATTTTCCTGTTTCATGCGTACTATATGCCCCCTCCCCTCCCCCCCCCCCCCCCCTCGACAGCAAAATTTTTGGTAAAAAGTAGGGAAGTTTTCGGGAAATTTTGGAAAAAAGTGACAGGAAGTTGGGGAAAATCTGAAAATTGGTAGAGGAGGGGGGACTCGTATTGTGTGGCGACATTTCCTGTTCAAATATGCTATTTACTCGGGTGTGGGTCGGTTCTATCGTCGACAATAAGTGGGTCACCGCGCTGGTGGGCGGGGCGAGGCGGGGCGTACGAGTTTTGCTGCGTGCCATTCAAATTGTTAAAGGACTGACGATCCCTTTAACAGTTTGAACGCCACGCTGTACCACGGCACTACCTATTTCGATTACCTTTCCTCTAGTTTTTCTTTCCCATTTTGTATAGTTTTTATGCTGCAATGCCTTGAAATCATCCCATTTTGCACATCTAGAACTTGCAAGACCAGTATTTCATATTGGTTTTCTAACAAAAATATTGAAAGTATGTCTTCTGCCTATTTTCTTTTCTAGAGAAAAAAGTAATTACATTCTTTCAGGTTTTCCGGTGTGTTTGTTTCTACTGTAGTAAATTGCTGCTAGATAAAGATAATAAACGTGTAAAAGATATAATAAGAAAAACACAAGGTAAACTTGGAGAAACATAGGCGTCTCTATTTTTCAAGTGATCAATTACACTTTTTGAGGTAACCCTCGGAGGAGGTTCACTTTGGTTTATGATATGTGCAAGTCAAAGGTCGTTTGTGATGGTGGAAATGAAATTGAGAATGTAAATCCTGAGGTACTATTTCCTTTGAAATTTTTATTCGCATTATTTTTGAGTGCTAATGTGGTTGGAGTGCCACTTCGCTGCGCTTCTGTGTGGCTCATTGGAAACTATGCCCTCTCTGCAAGGATTTTAGGATTTTTCGGCGTCTTTGGTCGTTTGGGTTCGACCTAAGTCTTGCATAGTGGAAAGGGATCCAGAAGTGCCAAGGCACCCTGCCTCAACTCTAACCAACCTTGTTTATGTTCTCTTGGAATTTCAACATAATGGTGAAATCATTTATAGGAGGGAGAGGATGGTGAGGAAGTCATAAAGGGCAGCGGTTGCGGTCGATATCAACCTTTATATCGCCGTACTGGAATCGACCTTAATGCTGTGTGGAAGAAAAATGTGAACGAAGACACACAGGTAACTTCATTCCCCAGATTTTTTTTCCATGTATGATATGTTTCAATTCTTCGTCATTCGTTTGCCTGTTCCGCGTATGAAATCAACTGTGATTCCTTCTTTATTATCTCTCAATTACACCTGACAGCGAAGTACTGGGTAGTTACGGCGGTAAAGAGGCCTCATTCATAGCGTTTCGAAAGTGAATAGATAAATATTGAAGTCAGGTCCTTTACATAGGCGAAAATACAGTAAATACCTTTGAAGGCGAAGGCTTACCCTATACGACTAGGAATGTCATTCGTAATTCGCTGTCGTTAGTGTGAAACAGCCTAAATGCTGAATTATCTTCGGTTCCAACAAAATATAGAGGGAGGATATTGGCTACTTCACCATTGATAAGGAGAAGGCAGGTGTAGAAGTGCCCGAAACGCCGAGTCGCAAGGTATGAGCGCACCCTCACAAAGTTTACCGTGTGATGCACTCGACAGGTTATTTTGGCAAAGGTTCAACAGTAATAGCCTGGAAGTATTACGGCTTAATATAAATTCAGAATGTCTTATTGTATAGAGAGTTTGGTTCAATCAGATCGCTGACGTATAGAAGTTGTGTCTTTTCAGGAGCGTATATTGAGCCTGAACTCTAGGCTTAGAGACATTTGTGTATGATTTTGAATATGACAACGACGAGCTGAAAATGGGAGGACACTGGGGAAATAGGTTCAGTATTATTTTGAGGTAATTACTCACAATGATTGTTGCTCTACCAATTTCTCTAGTAAGCTTTGCGTTATTAAGGAGTATACGCACCAAAAGTGTTCTGGACAGTCGTTTGAAAGAATTAGAAGAAAATGGATTTATAAATTATTTTGGTACAGTGTTTACTTGTCTGTTTTCACTTGAAGGTTTCTTGTGGTGGAATTGCTTTTTATCCAGGGATGCAACGTTTCGGTTCCTGCGGTACAAGTACAGCCGAGGTGGGTAAACATATATTGAAAAGGAATTGGGAAGCTGCTGTGGCGCTCATTCTCAGCAATGATAATCTACCTGGTGAGGTTCTTTTCGCTGGTACTCTGTGGCGATATTACCTTCACACTTACTATTTCGACAATGTACCATCTCTGTCTGATATCTGACCAGTAATAGAAAAGTAAATGGAATTCTTAAACTTTCGTGCTCAAGTTTCAACTCAGGGTACCTTGGCACCGTGGGGGATGCTCTCCGATGCTGGAAAGAAACAAAGGATGCGTCGAAGGCACTTCGATTCTTGAAGGGAAGCCAAGCATATGCATCAATAGAAGCCATCATATTCAAGTGCCTTGCCAAGGGTGGAACGTGGCAGAAGGTGAAACTGTCCAATTTACTTCTGCTTTTGATCCTACTTACTGTACTTCCTTTGGTTCCGAATCATTCGAAATGATGCTCCTTTCCTTTGATCCCTCTCTTGTTTTCTGAGATGGGGGTGGGGGGCGTGGCGAAGAGACTAAGGATGTGTCTTTACCTAGCAGACGAGTGGATGCACTCTCGCGTTATTCTTTTTCGCCCAACGGGATCTGCTGTTTCTGCTACAATGACCAGTGCCAATTCAAAATGCCGACCAAACTTAATCAGCATCACATTTAATGTTCTCTACTTTTTTGGTCATGGTTATAAAGGGTGAATTCCAAGTCGAACTGGTCGTTTGCGATGGGTCGTATAGCATTAGATGTGCTTTCTCGCTCTAATTTCAATTCTGCTTTCAAATCTGCGGAAGATTGACGGAGTTACAAGGTTTTTTCTTCGCGCTGTCGCACATAGTACTGCTGGGGGAGAGAGGGCGGGGGAAGGCGGGGGGGGGGGTGGGAGTCTCTATAAAGAAAGTCGTATAATTGAAGAGAAAGGCCAGGTAGACTCATGGTGTAGGTTTACGTACCAATTGGCCACATCGTCCTGGGGACTATCTTCATTGTTAAATGCTGACCATGAGCTGTAACTTCCATGCCAACGTTTTTGGCAGAATGAACATATCACAAAGTATGAGGAAACGTCTAAATCGACTGATAAATAGGTGGTTGGTCGATACGTCATCAATACGCCAAATTTCGTTGTTTTACATCGAATTTTGTACATTGTCGTACACTAACGATTCAATTTGCGTCAACTCTAGGCTACTGCCGGGGCAATATGATCCCATTAGCGTGCAGATACTCAACCACTGTCGTGTTATGGCCCATAACAAACTGGATGAGATTCGAGAGCAACAGGAACGGTTCAAAGAGAAGAAGAATAGGAAGGATTACTGGCTCCATGAGGGTATTATTGTCAAAGTGAGTTTGTCTTCAATTTTACTTAATTGTTTACATTTTTGTTTTCTTGATTTTCAAAACTTGTCTTTTCGTGGAATTACATATATTTTTCAGGTAATCACGAAAAAATTAGGAATGATTACTACAAATCAAAAGAAGTAGTAAAATCACTTATCGACGATTATACGGCAAGCGTGAAACTGTATGATGGTCAGTTTTTTTTGTATTTGTTTAGTCGTTCAAAGTGTGGTCTGTGAATCTGTCACCCCCCCCCCCCGAATAACTAGGACCGTACTATTGATAATACCTTGAAATTTTGCTCATTGCGATGATATGCCTTGATCAGTGGTATTACTTTTTTGTGCCCCACTTCTATCACGCTGTCGGCATAAGTTACCAGATTTCAGGAAAATACAATGGTTCAACGTGTGGGATCTTCCCACTGACCGGAATGATCAATTCCATAAATTGGGAATCCTGTCCAATCATAATTTCTACACTGTTATGCCATTTGTGCAAGATCTACAAAAATATATTGTGTGCAAAGTAGTAAGCAAAGGGTACCAAAGGGTAATAGCTATCGGAAATGTGAGTTTTTCACTTTATATCCTTTTACCTGCTTCACTTATTAGTTCTCACCGTTAAATTTATTTATATTTATTACGAGAATTACCGAGCAATAGAAGCTTTCGAGAACTTTGAAAAAAAGAAGAATATCGACAAATATTTCAAGCTTACGAGTGGTGGCAGCAACTTGACTGTGGTTCGTATCCTAAAGTACAGTTTTTGGAACCCCTCAGGTATGCTCATGCTATGGTCTTGCTAATATTTGACATTTCCTATGGTTTTCGAAAAGAAGTACGTGCAACTCTTAGTAATTTTTTATTGTAGGGTTGTGGCATTGACCGCGTTACCGCTGCCGACGTTGCCGCACAACCAGCAACAAAGAGATGAAATGTCTCTAGGAAGCGGATCCTCAAATTAGCAGCAGTCAGAAAAAGAAAAAGATCAAAGTGATTGTACTGTTCGCTTGTTTTGCTTTTCGTGGAAATTTCTGGTTCAGAAAAGTTCTGGTTTCCTCTCTGCCTATTGTTTCAGTATCCTTTCCTTTTTCTCAGCACTACTATATCGCTAGATTCAATTTTTGATCGCTATATGTAAAGTACTGGTTATAGCAACTGACTTTTCGAGAACATTCAAGGCCAGTTTTTAGTTCGCATCGTTTTTAGAGAAGTTATTTCCGTGGGTGAGAATAAAGGTGTATTTCAATGCTGTATTATCGTAGAACATATGACCGTTTTTTCAACGATCGCTAGTTCAACCCCAGTAGCGAGATACTGCCACTGCGGTTCACAATCTAGTTTGTCATTTGTCACACGGTGACAAATGCATAGGAATCCCAAAAGTGATTCTAAATTAGTCACCACTTTTCTGTGGTATTCCTGTCTCACTATCAGATAGCAAGACAAAGCCAGCCGCCGTTTTGTGTTTCGTGCCTGGGGGTGCAGCCACAGTTTTTTTGATATTCAGTTCGAGAAAAGAAGGTGAACTACTAGTGTGGAACTTCTTGGTTTCTCAGTTGTTTCTCACTCAAGAAAACGCTACCTAGATGGGTCTACATATCTATGGAAAGCAAAATGCCCCCCGTCGATACTGCGCCCTGCGGGCGTCTCAGGAGAGTTATTACGTGTGGGACGGCACCAGCCCGTTCTACACCAAAAGTTGAAGCGGGCAAGTGGTAATGATTGAGGGAAAACAGGGCCAAACCGGCCCCTGATACGCTAAAGCATCTGAGCGGTAACGGTTAGACTGGGAGGACGAAATTTTGTATTTTCGGTCACCCGACATCTTGAACTTTTGCGCATGTTCCAGTTCGAGAGAATGCTACGATGGGGTCCAAGTTAAAAAAATCACATGACAACTCTTGTAGATATTTCAGCACTTAGAAAAAAAGTTTCGTAGGAATGTTGCCAAGGGTGAGCATAGAAACTGAATCACAATGAGTGACAGAAGAAATAATTGGAAATACAGGAACGCTGTGCTGGATCCTAGCAGTCTACGATGGGGTTCATGTTGAAAAATTACATGACAACCCTCGTAAATATGCTAGAACTGAGAAAAAACAGCACAACGAGAGTGGTCACGTTAAAGTAAAAATATAAAAATGTGAATCCCGAGTAAAAAATGTAGAAATCAGCAAAATACAGCAGAACAGGTCAAAAAATGCTGGCGCCGAATATCAACAATACAGCAGTGAATAGTATATGGTGACTTTGTTGCTGTAGAGGAATTTAAAGAACTTGCGCTAGCAAGACTTCCTACGATGTGGGTCGAGGACGCCGTGAAACAACGCTAATCCTTTGCTCCAGTGACAACTCGGGAGTACGGTAATGCCAGGCAGTAAAACTCGTACGCCCCGCCCACCAGCGCGGTGACCCACTTATTGTCGACGATAGAATAGACCGGGACCCTATTTACTCCCGCTCGACGCCTCCACTCGATGAGGTGGAAAAGACGGCTGGAGGGGGGGGGGGTGGGCTCGTACAGACTCGACTAAAATCCCCAACCAATCATGTGCCCTGGGACAGAAATCTCACGAATAGTGATTTGCTATGGTTGTGGTCCCGAATATGGTCTACACAACGTAATCCCCTTGATGACACCAACTTCCTCTTCTTCTCTGCGCTCTCTCGTCACCATGACGTTCCATATTGACTGCTAACTCCCACATCCCTTTTTTATTCTGTGATGAGTCTATGATGAGTAGCTCATCCAGTCCACAGTCCTCTCCTCTCAATGAAAGCCTATACCATGCTTGCCATTTGTTCTTTCGCGACTTTTCATGTTTTGGCGGCTACTGTCTACTGTCTGCCTGCGCTACAGGGTTTCGCGACAGGACCATGTGAAAAAGTTCAAGTGGATTTATTTGCTGGAATTGTGTGGAACAAAAATCAGCTGCTCTAATGGCAACGTGGCTAAACGTTGAATGCAGCATGTTACTTATCTTTAAAAAAAATTCAAAAAAGTCACCACAAAAAAGTGTGGTGAATGAAGTGCAAAGAATTCGAATGAACATACTTGCTTCCATGAGCCAGTCACCATCAAACAGATTGTAACGCAAAGAATCCTCGTCCAATAACCACTCCTCCTGAATGATATCCTTAGAAGATTTAATGGAATGTCTGCAGTAAAAAATGTTTTGTCATTTTAGTTGACGTCGGTGGGGCACAGCGAACCACTCACTAGGCATAACTTGGTGCTGCTTAATGCCAGGTCTTCAAATAGCTCAGCCCCTCTTAACGAGATGGTGATGGAGCAGAGGGTGCCTGCACAACCATTTTAGCCTCGGAAAACTCACACCCCATACACCCAGTTACCTTGGCGGAGATCTTCGGTGCTTATCTGAGAGCAGAGCGGGGCGTTCAGCGTTACCGCTGCGCAACATTTACCCGTTCAAGCCAAGTGGATGTCTATTGGCGCTGCTGTCATATTGCCACTGGGATGCATTGGCTGTAACTGCCAGCTCCATAACGCATCTGCACTGTCTCCATGTAAAGAGTGCGTTGGACAAGTCGTCCAGATCACTCGGTATCTTGGTTGGTGTTATCGGTCCACATTGGCAGGGTGAAAGCATAGGCGTCCCGTTGCGCACAGATGATCCGAATAATCATATTTGTCGGCTGATAATCTATTTTTCGGCGTCGATTTATGATAAGTTCTTATTTCTGCATTCCCTATAAACTTGTTGCTGAGCAAACAAGTGAAGTGCTCTCAGCAGGAGGACGGGTATATATAAGAAGTCAGCTAAGCAGCCCTGGCAAGATTTGGGATGAAAGAAGTGGAAAAGAGGATCAGAAGCAGATGCAGCTCGTTAAGGAAGCCATACGTACACATTTTGGCGTCCCAACTGGTGTCCTTGACGCATCAGTGTCCGTCAGTCGAGTAGTCGAGTGATCCGGACGAGTTACACGGTGCATAAGATATGATGCATTGGCGGAATGGAGAGGTATGTGACGAGAGGGTCGTGATTCGCCGCGCTGTGGGCGCCGCGTGCGACGTCGCGCCCGCAAATGACATGGTTACAGGTAGTAGATGGCGGCAAGAGGCAATTCAAAACCGAAAATGGTCATGATTG